CTCAATACAAAAATTAAAAAGTATTAAATAGTTTTTTGGCGGCAATATTAGATGAACGTTAGTACTTTTTGATTTCGCTCTATACTATAGTAGTGCAGTTAACTAAACAGTACAGTGCCTACAAAACATTATCTTTTCTTTTACTGTGAAAAACTGCTTTTATATCGATTATTAGTCTTTTTTAAGGAATAAATTTTGATTTACACAGAAAAATTTGCGATTTTAACGCCGGTAGATTCCCAAGTTAGAATTTCTAACCGGAATTTCAATAAATTCACTTTTTGTACAAAAAAAGTATATACAAAAGTGCTCTTTTAGTTCCACCCTTACTTCCTAAGAAGTCCCAGAAGCCAACAGAATGGCTTGTGTGGGTTAGAGGTAGGAACGGACCGCAGGCTTAAAGTCCCCTCCGAAGGACTAATACACAATAGGACAAACACAAATAAACAATCATACCAATGTGGGACTCGAACCCACGACCTCTCGGTTTGTAGTCAGCAGCAATGACCACTAGTCCACCGGCGGTACCTTTTGTAACATTTCCCGTTTAAGAATTTTTAATACTTTGTGATATTATTTTGCGATAATAATAGTAAAAAAAAATCAAAGTAAAAAAATGTTCTTAACATATCATATTTTGAACTTATTTTATAATTTTAAAGTATCAATAATCGTTATGTTTAATTAAAATAATAAGGAGGAATGATGGTCAAAGTTACGTCAAAAATATTTATTATGGATGGTTACTTTATTTTCGTATAGATGTCGCTTAATACTAATATTTTATTTAAATCAGTTTTTAGATAATATTCATCTAATAAAATTAAAATTAAGTTCGTAAATAAAATGGCTTTTATCAAACTTGATTCATAATATACTATTATCTACTCCTACATTAACAAGCTGTAACTTTATGGCATTTTTGTTACTGGCTGAAGTTAACAAAAGTGGCTTTTGTGCATTTTTGTTACAGGCTGAAGTTAGCAAAAGTGGCTTTTGTGCATTTTAGTCACGGGCTAAAGAAAGGTTAAATCTGTTGACATATGACGAATGTAAAATATTTAACAAATAATTTAGGTTTTAAATTCTTCTTTGTGTTCGTTGAAGATAAAGACCATCTCAAGACACTCGTTTTTATTAATCACTTGCTCGTGCCTAATAAAACTCGTAACTAAAATGGCGTTTATAAAACTTAATACATAATATACTATTAGTATGGATATTGTAAAATTGTAATTAAGTAAAACACAAAGTATACATTTAAAATGTTCGGTAATTAAAGCTGTTGGTAACAATTTTTTAATTAATTTTCTTTTGTTCAGTGTATTTTTAAAAACTCGTTTTCGCATACCTACGCTTTTAAATATTCATTCACCTTTGGTCAATATATTTCATAACTGGTTTAAATTTGAATTTAAATCTCGTGCCTTTAAAAAACCAAGCTCTGGTTTATACGAATACGTATTCTGTGAATAACATAAATGCGCATAAAAAGCAAACTTTACAATTAATCTCGAACCATTTAAATAAATATTCATTAAAGTTGTTTCTATTGAAATTTATATTTTGGCCTTTAATCATGGGATAAACAATTATGTGTGGGTCAAAATAAGACTTTGATGTACATATACTCGTATAAATAAAAATGTATAAAAATATATTTATTTTATTTTTTCAGTTAAGTGAGGAACTCGGCTACGTTTTGTACAGTGCACTGGGCTCATTCTACATCCCGTCTTGCATCATGGTTTTTGTATATATAAGAATCTACTACGCGGCTAAGGCGAGGGCTAGAAGAGGCATTAGAAAAATACCCAGACCCAAACCACAAGACCAAGTCACTAGCTTTTCAAATAATCCTGTAGTAAGTACAATATTAGAGTTATATAAAATAATACAAATATATACAGTGTACACATTAAAAGTACCCCCCTGTAGTTTTATGAACGAAAAAAGTATCGACATGGGACAAAACCATTATCAAGTTTTTACTTTTTTAAACTAATTTTCTTGACGCCCTAGAGAGAATAGAGAAAATGTTAAAAAAATATCGGAAAAAAAACGTGGAACGATTTGATGTGTTGTTGGGTGTATTTCGAGAAGAAATCCTGGGTTGAGTTTTTACCGGTTTTCCAAAACAGTGTTAACCCGAATGAAGAAATAAATTTCATACAGTCCCTGTAAATATAAATTGTATTTATTAGATACAATAATACAATATTCAATAATAGTTATGATTAACGTGAAAAGTATAAAAACGTCAAACAAATAAGTCGTCTAAATTCAAACAGCATTAAGCATTATTAAAAGCGTTGATTAAAAAAGTGTCTACTCAACGGTATAATATTATGTATTATATATAATATTATGTTGCCCTGAATTCGTAGGTATATTTTGTTGTTTAAAATGCAGTTTTAGGCGTTTTTTTAGAGAACTCAAATATAAAAATGTTCGATTTTAAGGTTATGTTTGTGCAATAATTATTTTTTACTTGTTTCTTAAAAATGTCCAAACTTAAATATAAATTATATTAGGAAAGGTTATCATTAGTTAATTCTGCACCAACAAATATACTTACCGAATTGCACCTATCAATTTGACGTCAAAAAGTAGTAACTTTGACAATGGTTTATGACCGATGTCGATACCTATTTTCATGCAAAAGATAACAGGGGAAAGAACTTTTAATGTATATAGTGAAAACATTGTTTTAATAATATATGTTATTTATAGTAAATATTTTAGTAAATTTTAAGTTAATTAACATATTCGGATTTATTTTTGGTAATTTGATATTGTTTATAATATAATTTTGAACTTTCATGTTAATTTTAATTAATTGGAATATGAGTCCTGAAATTATTTTCTTAAGATGAAAAATGTAAATAAATAAATTAGGGTTAAAATCTTTTGTTTATAATGTTTTATATGGTGTTAAAATACTTATTTATCATATAAAGGCTTTAAATTACAACTTATATTGTGGGAAGGGAAGTTTGGGACCCTTTACCAGCCCTTTGAACAAAATAAAATAACTTAGCATATAATATGTATATTAAAGTACCTAGGTGTGTCATTTTTAAGCAACTTTTTTTTCAACTAAAAAACAGGCTAAAAACTTTCAGGAAGGTGAAAAAAGAAACCTCTAAAAATTTGAGCTCTTAATATTAACATTAAGTGGTGCCTGTTCCTAACTTTGCATTGTAAAAACGAACTGAAAAATTATTTTGGTAGGAAATTGAACGCTCTACAAAAAAGTTTCAATATATTTTTTCATAGAGTGAGCCATTCTGCAGGTATTCAAACTTAAAGTTGCCTTAAACATTTCGAATCGCGGCACGTTAGCGTGCCTCTAGTTACTGTGTAATCCGAACGGTAATATACCGACTGAGCCGATATAATCTTTTATCAGAGTTATCGACTTTAAAATTATAAAAAAAAAGAAGATTAAAAATTCAATATAATAAAAAATTCATTGTTTTATTTAATCTATTATAATTATTGAACAAATTTATTGAACACAAATAATTTTTTTTGATAGTAAATAAAATAAAATGGAAAAAAAATTTGAGATGTAAGTGTTATTTTCTTTCTATACGAAAATAATTATTTTTTCTTGTAATAATTTTTAAGATTAAGTATTAGTTTAATTAAATAAAAGTCATAATTTCATACATTTGCAAGTTTGAATACCTTCAGAACGGCTTACTCTATGAAAAAATAAATTAGTACTTTTTTGTAGAGCGTTCAATTTCCTACCAAAATAATTTTTCAGTTCTTTTTACAATGCTTAAATGTCAAGATACAAAAATAAGAAACAAGAAACATTTTTTTTTCCATGTTATTTAAATGGAAAATGGAAAGTTAGGAACAGGCACCACCTAATGTTATTATTAAGAGCTCAAATTTTTAGAAGCTTCTTTTTTCACCTTCCTGAAAGTTTTTAGCATGTTTTTTAGTTGAAAAAAAGAAGTTGCTTAAAAATGACACACCCTAATGTATACACCGAAAAAAATAATGTAGTTGAGTTAACATTTGCCTAAATGTCATTTTTAAAAATGTTGTTTCAACAAAAAACCTATTGGATTAATCTATATTTTGGTGTTAAAGCAAAAGTCAGAGTTTGTCAAAGTTTATTTGTTCATTTGACAGTTTAAATATTAATTTAACATAAACTAATATTTTGAATTAAAATGTTTATCGTACTTTGATTTAATAGCTGGAATTTGTTGAATCAACTACTGAAATTTTTAGGATTACCTAAAAAAACTATTAAATTAACGTTTAGTTGCTCTTTAATCCAAAACTTTAAATTTGTTCATTTAACAAATTTAAAATGTTACTTTAAAATTTAAAATGTAAAATTTGCATTCATAAAATTGCCGAGAATGGCTCTTCGAACACTCACGCCACGTCATTAGACAATGACGTTTTCTTACATCTCGCCTTAGTTAGCTTACGATTAGGTGTATATAAGATGAGATATCTGTTTGTTTAAGGTGTGTTCCACAGTAGAACTTTCACTACACCATATTGCCCGACACTGTTAAGACCCTCAATACAGGGCGAAACAGTCTGTCGGTATTTGAAGTAGGTGGAACACATGATACAAAGATGTATCATGGGTGGAACACGCTCAAAACAAAAACTCTGGGCGAGGTGAAGGTTCAATTCTTTCTATTTATATATAATAATATATTATTTCCATAATTTTGTTTTGGATACCAACCTTTAAAGAATTTTACATTTTCAGAATGTTAATTTAACATTTTATTGGTGTTAAGTGAATATGCTAAAAAGGTGACCTGGACATTTCAAGAAATTTACCTTAACACCCTAAGAATGTTAAATTAACCAAATTAGCAGATTAGAACAAATATTCTTATTTTGTTCATTTGACTGTTATTTGTTGTTCAATTAAACAATACACTTTGACATTTTTAGATGGTAGAAGTAAACGTGCAAAAACCATTGCCTGTATTTAAAGTGCATAAAGAGTTGAATTAATATTTTTTTTGTTGTTTCAACAGCTTATTTTTTTCAGTGTATATTTAGATCTCAACTAATAACTGTCTTATTTGTCAGGCAAAAAACGGCAACAGCGGCGTGTCGAGCGTGATGGGCGGCAACGGCGGCGGCGCGGCGGGGGTCGCGGGCGACTCCCTCGACCGCAACAGCAACACTTCGCCGCGCGATTGCGGTCCGCAGGACCGGCAGATCGCCACCATCGAGTCGCATGCGCGACCGATGCCCATACCGACGGTCACCTGCGACCTGGCCAGCGACATCTCCACCAGCGACGCCGGCGACGCCTTGGTCGACAGCGGCGAGCAAAAGGACACACTCAAGGTCAGTCAAGTTTTTGTCGAAGCAATAAGCAGGCGCATTACGTTTTTTATATCCTTCTATTTAACTCAAAAAGACGCTAATAATCTAACCATATAATACTCTAAGGCCCGTTATTTCCAATGCTAGTAAACTTTCGTGTTAGTAAACCTAGGATTAACTTAAATTCGAAGTTAACTTGAAGTTATGTTTTTATGGGTTTTTCCAAAGATTTTGCTACCCGAGTTTAGTAACTCTAATTTAATCTGTATATCCTGACTATATTTCTGTAAATATGTGTATATTTTTATGTGTATATTAGGGTGTCCCAAAATATATTTTTTTTTTTCTCGTCTCTTGTAAAAATCTGTTAGTTTATCATGCTGTGAGAGCCCTTTCAAAATATCAGCTCGATTAAAAATTATGTAGGGGTCGCTGAAGATTTTTAAAAATTTTCAAAATGGTCAAAAATTGAATTTTTGTTTTATTTTAATTCTTTTTCTCGTCTCGATATTATTTTTTAGGTTGAAAATAATAAAAATTGCTAAAAGTTCGTTGATATTTATATTCAGAGGTCGCTCGAAAACATTCAAAATACTCTACTTTGAAAGTTAAAAAAATCGTGAGCGACCTTTAGAAATTAAAATATCGATTTGAAATTTTCAGAATCATTAATATTTTTAAATTAAAAAATAATATCGGAAAGAGAATAGTACATTCTGTAACAAGTTTGGAATACAGCATATTCCGCTCGAGGAAAAATTTGACACACAAGCCGAAGGCGAGTGTGACGGTTTTACGAGAGTGGAATATGCTATTCCAAACGTGTTTCAGACAATATTTTCTCTACGACTATGTAAGAATAGTTATGCTTATATAAGTTTAAACAGAGAAAAGAAACCAAGCAGTTTTTGACATTTAAGTTTTTTGTATTGTCAAACCATTTTGTGCCGTCACAATTTTACAATGTAAATTATAATAAATTTAAACAAATGGTATGCCTAAATCTTTATTATAATTAAAAATAGTTATTTACACTAACTAATAAAAAAATAACATTGTAACAAATACAAAACTAATTTTACAAGTAATCTATGTCAACATCTATTCTTTTTCTACATTTTAAAGGTCTTTTTTTAAACTTTTTGAATCTGTCAAAACTTCAAAGCCGGTATAGTAGGTAACTGGTTTATCATTTTAATATCAAATTTATTATAATTTTGATTTGTATATTTAAAAAACAATAAATATAACTAATTTTTTGTGCCTAAACCTTAATTATACAGCTGCTATTATTTTTTAATTAATAAATAATACAGTAATATTTAAATATTTTTAAACTTTTTACGTTTTGTAAACCGTCAGGAGATGTCGTTACTTGTGACCATTCTTAAACAAGAGTAGGAATATTCTCGCACAGTATTGCAGAAAAACATCCTTTCTATGATCAAAAATTACACTAGAATGTTACTATTCTTAAGTAGTGTAGAGAAAAAAAATTAAAATAAAAAAAAATCCAATTTTTGACGATTTTGGTAATTTTAAAAATCTTGAGCGACCCCTAAAAATTTTTTAATGGTGCTGATCTTTTGACAGGGCTCTTAAAACATGACAAACCAACATATTTTCACAAGAGACGAGAAGAAAAAAATATTCTTTTTTTTTGGGACACCCTAGTGTATATTTATAAGAAATAAAATTATTATTATTAGTATTATTATTATTAAGAAGTTTTTTTCATTCTATGATATGCAGAAGCAGAAGCAGAAAGATGATGCTTGGGAACGTATTACAATCACGTTTAACGCCACAAGCCCTGTTCGAGTATTACGAGAAAAAAAAGGTCTAAAAATAAGTATAAAAATCTCAAAAAAACACAGTTTTTCACCTATAAACCATTTGTTATTCAAAATTGCGCGTTTGTGATTGGTGGAAATTAAGACGAGGGAAATAGTCAGGTAAAATTTAAGATACGGACGAAATAGACAAAACAGTGAAAGAAAAATTAGGTGATCAAATATATGGTTTAACTGCCCTTTTCGATTGCGATCAAGATGAGTCAGTCCTCATGAAGAACATGGAAAATGAACTCGCTAATTTGGAGCATGAAAAATAAAATGATAAAATGATACGATACAAATCGTAACAATAATGCCAAAAGCAAATGTAGACACCCCCATTGGTTGTCGATAGCGATGGGATGGTCAACACAGATGTGAGGGCAGAAGAAGCCAACAACTGGACAGAATACACCCCCAAAATGTTGAAAGAACCAGTTAATAGTCAAAGGGAAAAGTTAACAGAACATGAATTAAAAATGAAAATTTTTACTAAAAAGCTGCAGTTGCAACAAAAAAAGATGGAGATATTAATGAAGGAAAATTATATAATAATATTGTCATCTCATTTATTATTGTTTGTCGTTACTATTTTTTATGTCTTTATTTAGAATTTTAATATTTAAATAGCTGTGTTCCTAATAAACCAACATTTGGTTAAGTTAATTCACAATGTCTAGGTTAACTTGTAGCTGAGCTTCGAGTTTATTGTAAATGCGCGTTAACTTACAAATTAGAGTAATCCAGACATTGATATATAGATTTTCAAATTTAACTTTAAGTTTAAATTTAACTCCATATATATCGCTGTGAGAACAATGGTATCCATGGTAATTATCTACCAGATAAGTAACTGCAACTTTAACTGGACTTTGATAAACCGGCCCTAAGTGTTTTAATTAACTTGCTCAAAAAGAGAACTTGTGTAGACTTTTTATATTAAAACTTGACAAAAATATTTATTATTATTGCCTGTAGTAAAACAATACTTCAATGTACAAAAAAGTGTTCCAACATCAACACCTCATTGACGTATTGTCTTAAGACCCATCAATTTTTTTTCAAAATCTAACACTTTTGGTCATGAGATCAGCAATCTGCTTTACGCCATCTATTTTCTCTACAACTATTTGACCTTCTAAGACCAGTTCCCGAAAAAAAAATCTTATTCTTATATGTTTTGTTCTTTTGTAAAATTCTGATTTTAGTTGCGACTTCATTATTTACCATTAGACGAGGCAGATCCTTTAATTTTACAATGCATTCGCATAATGTTTTCAGCCAAATCAATTCCTTTGCACATTCACTTGCTGGGTAGAAATCGCAACCGAAATTTGTCTCTTACTTCTCCATAACACTGCTGCTCCTCTAAACATACAAAGAACTCCAGACGTTGATCGACCCTTAGTTTTATCACCACCATGGTCTGCATCACTATATCCTTTCAAGTAACCTTTCTTGTGATTGTTTTTGAATAAAATACCAAGATCCAAGGTACAGTCACGTGCATTGGATCAGTACCACTGATACCACTTATTGTTAACATCCTAGACTAGACAGAGCTATGACTCTGACCGCAAGCTATTTTTGAATGTTGTTGCTACTGAACTATTGCTCCCAACTGTACTTTTAATATATCTGAATATTCCCTTTACACGCATATAATTTAGTGTGCTTGGATTTTCGAGACTTCTTGAATAAACACCAACTGCATAGGCTAAATCAGGACGGCTTCCTGTCATGAGGTGCTTAAGAAAACTTTGGATCATTATCCTCATCCTTCCCTTATTCAATAGATCCTTTTAATATTGGTGTTCACAGGTTTACATGGTATCTTAAACCCCTTTAGTACCTTTTTAGAATAGTATTTCAGGCTAACTTTAATGGAATTATCTGGAGTTTTCTGTTTTCCAGTCCCAAAAAGTATGACGCAGGTTTAATGGTTATCGTAAAATCTTTTTGTATATTTTCTAGAAACTCATTCTTCATACCTTCATTAGTAATTTCGCCGGCAGTAAACTATAACTTAAATTCGAGCACGGACTCTACTGTAAAGTGCTCATAAAACATTTTCCTTACTTTCACTGTGGAAAACTGTCAATTTTCAAGAAATACATTTCGATTTATAACCTTTATAATCTGTAGTAATAAAATATAAACATTTGACATTTGACGGTGATTCATAGATGGCGCTCCATACAAATTTTATAAACTTTTCTATACACTCATTAATTTAAGCACTCGCTAGCAAGCTCGCTCTTGCCTAAATTAAATTCGTGTATAAAATGGCGTTTATCAAACTTGATACATAATATACTATTATATCCCGGTGCATCCACCATTTTTGAAACAAATTGTAACAAATTAAAAAAATATTTTGGTTTTAGATCTTTATTGTGTTAACAATATGTTTAATATTAAAAATTGCATAAATAAAAATTAAAACCAACTATTGCGATATTACATTCCTTTAGCTATTTTTGATTAAAGTCAGCAAATTCGCTGCCACTTTATTTTTATTTTTGCATCTCTCATCGTTTTGAATTGCTTTCAGTTTTGCTCCGCGGAATTCCACACATACATACACACACATACACATATACATACACAGACAATGGTACACGAATAACAATCGGAATCGTATGAAGAGTCGCTAAATATGCATCAAACCAAACGGCGATCTGCATTTTCCAATTTAAATGAAAATATACAAACGTTGCTTGGCGCTCACTGCTCCTACACGTCCAATTGGTAAATATTAATTTTGACAAACCAATTTGCCAGGCTAAATTCGCATTCTTCCTTGCAAATTAAATATAAATTGATTTGCTGATGAAGGGAAGTTTATTTTACGTTATTTTGATAAGGGTTATTTTGATAAGGGATGTCCAAACTTTGACAACTAACAACGACCATATTTAAAGTAGTAATTTATGCAACAAGAATATAAAGCGACGCTTTTTTGCACGTATGAACTTTTATAAAACTTCATAGTTTAAAAAAGAGGCTTTATATTCGAGTTGCATACATTTTTTTTTCTAATGCCATAAGGCTTAAGGAATAAATTATAATGTATGTATTAATATTACTAACAATACAAATTAAATTAATTGTTTTCTTGAATAATGGTATATTAAGTTTAATAAACGCCTTTTTAGACAAATTTAATTTAGACACGAGCGAGCT